TAAATCAAGAATATAAGTATCCCCCTATAGCTGAGTGGTGGTAGCATACTCCTTCAATCCCTGTATTTGGGAGCCAGAGGAAGGCAGATCTCTGATTTCGAGGCCAGCCTGGTCCAGGACAGTCAAGAGCTGTTAAGACTGAGAACCCTGTCTTGAGGAGGTAAACAATCCGTTCTTATTTTTGAGGCGCATCTGATGTAAATAGCTCAGTGCTTGGTATATGGTAATGAGCACCAGCAGCAAGATACTGTTATTAACACTGGATATAACAACTCTAATAAAACTGGCTCTATTTGTGGAGGCCATCCCACGGACCTTTCATAGTCATGATGGAGAGGCTTTAAGAGACCTATAGGTATTTTATTTTCTGTCATTATTGTGAGGGGGTATTAAGTATCTTTGTGGGTGTGGGCAGCACGGTTGCAGAGGTCAGATGCTGACTTTCTGGAACCCACTGTCCTTTTTCACCTTATATGGATTCTAGGGATCATACAGGTTGCCAGGCTTGGGCAACAACTGCCTTTATTGGTCCCAGATATGGAATTTAAAAATCACAGAAGATAGCTTATGGTCACAAAGTGCTGAAGAGTCTAAGGTTTGTAGTCTTCCAGCATACCAAGTTCTTTTATAGTTTACTCCCAACAGACTACCTGATCACCTTAGAGGCAGGCATCTGACTCTACTCCTTACATAGACTTTGTTCCTCTCATTATTACTTCAGCCTTCATCTTCCTTTAGCCTTTGTTTTCTCCTCCATGAACTCCAGGGTACAGGATTAACCATATTTAATTAGCTTTACACAGTAAAAACAGAAACCTGGTCAGATGTGTGGAGAAGCACAAGGGAAAACGAACTTGTTAGCACCTGTTGAGGTTCAATCAATCCCCTCACCTGGGGGTGGGGATGTTTAGTCCATTTCCAGATTGCGATGGTGATAGGATCAAGGGGTCTTGTGGAAGAGTTGTCAGCAAAAGCTGCTTAACCTAGGCTTCCACAGAGGCCCAAAGTTCTGTCTGGGGAGGGCAGCTGACTTGAGTCACAGGCCACTCTGGGGCTCCATCTTCTGGTATGACACCCTGAAATACAAAGAAAGAGACAAGGCTGTGTGGAACAAGATTTTATGTGTATGTGTGTTCTTGTGGTCAGTGCACAGTTAAATGTCTTAACTAGCACTGAGAAAGGGTGGCAATGGCAGACCAAGATCATCTTGTGGAGCTGTTGCAGAGACAGGGTAGTGTCATATGCAGGCAACAAAATGGTAGGTGCTCAATATAAATAACCACTGAGTTAAATATGTACTGATCACATACTGACTGGAAATCATAGCTTTTGACACCATTTTAAAATGTATTCCACTGTGTCCTTCTCCTAGGATCACAGTGGGATGCCACCCTGTTTGACAGCTCCTTACACTCATCCTTCAGCATTGACTGTGTGCAATGTACTGCGCTGATGTTGATTGATCAGTTACCACATCATCACATATGTAATTTGTGTTGCAGTAGAGAAAGGAATGTTGTATTATTCCTTCACCCGTTGTAGCAAACCAAGCAGCTAAGGCCAGTCAGTGTATTAATTATTGGCTCTTCTGGTATATGCCTTGGCCCTGGTGAATTTAAGTCTTTAGTCTACCTGGAAAACATCTCCACAACTTTTCTGCCACCCCCCCCCCCACAACTCCTGCCTGAATCCTGAGGTGCAGCACTATTTTGTAACTCTATCTCATTCCTTGAACAACCCTGGTCAGTAGAGTTCTTATGCTCCCTTTAAACCATGGAAAATGATCCCAAGACCAAGTCCTAGTCTGTCCAAACCCACAGCCTGGGTTGCTCACCCTGCCACAATGACTCTCTAAGGCCAGATTACTCATAATGGATCGTGCTTGCTAACATGTATTTGCTTCCTTTTCTTTCCTGACACACATGACTCAGACACTTGTGGCCAAAGAGCATTTTTTAGAGTGAAGCTTTAAAGAAAAAAGTCAACAAAGACAATGTCTCCCAACTTGCCTCTATGTTCTGGTTATAGAAAATGAGAATGGTCCGTAAAAATACAACGAAAATCTACAATAAAGAATGTTCTAGAGCCAGGCGTTGGTGGCACAAGCCTTTGATCCCAGCACTCCGGAGATAGAGGCAGGTGGATCTCTGTGAGCTCGAGGCCAGCCAGGTCTACAGAGCAAGTTCCAGGACAGGCTTCAAAGCAACACAGAGGAGAAACCCTAGCTCAAAAAACAAAACAACAAACAAAAATGTTCTAGATCCTTAATCAAATTTTAGGAACTCAGATTTCTTCTACTCTTAGACCAGGCATCCTCAGTTGACTGAAGTTTTGTTAAAGCAGGGTATCATCTTTATAGCTTTAAACAATTTACAACTGTATCCAGTGAGTACTTTTCACTTATCAGGATTAGTACATAGTCCTTAAATCCATTTTAGCTCTTAGAGGCAAATTCTGCTTATGGGCACCCAGAATGTGAACATTCTTTGCAATTTCCCCTGGGGACACTGGGGATGAGCCTCACATATGAGAACTCTGCCATTCTTGCAGCTCCAACTCATCAAGCAAGTGCTGGGGAGTCAGGGCTAGAGAAAGGATTCATTAGTAATGTCTGTGAAGGTCTATCGTGGGACCAGCTTTGTACTTTACTGACCTCTATTGCCCTCAACAAAGACCAGCTGCTTTACTCAAGGCTCATATAGGGCACAGGCTCTATGATATGAAAGGGGAAGGGAACAACTGAATGCTATCAATGTCCTTTTTTCCCATTCTCACAGGTAGTCTAAGAAAAATATAGGAAGCATCAGGTCCTTTCTTTCCCACACATTAGTTGACAAAAGACTTCAGCATCTTACAAATACAGGAAAATACAATGAGATAAGAAACAAAATTTTTTGAGAACCTTTTAGTTTGCCATGAACCTAAACAAGTCCAGGGTAGACTGGGTTAGCCAACATCCTTTTGAGTCAAACGTGAACAGATGTGGCTTTTGTTTCTCAGTTGGCACTGAAGATCTTCTCAGTGCTTCCACCTATAGATACTCACCTGCCTAGGTGAGAACAAAGAGAGGCTGGGTCAGTTTAGTGCTTAGTATGTATGAGGTCCTGCGTTCAATCCCAAGTGTGGGCACGCGGGCACGCACGCGTACACACACACACACACACACACACACACACACACACACACGGACTCTCCAAACCAAATCCCAACTCAATCCCCTTCCCTAGTCCTGCATTCAATCCCAAGTGTGAGTACACACGTACGTACACACAGACACAGAGAGATTAAATCCAAACCAAATCCCAAGTCAATCCCCTTCCCTCCTGGCTCAGGGCCTTTTAAATGCTAAACAGGTCTATTATAAATTAGCCTGCCACAACCCCCCACCCCAAACCCCGGGGAAACAAACAAAAAGCCAAAGCTAACTTTGTAACTAAGGATTTTCCTCTTTTCACAAGTAACTCAGATTGTCTAGGTTTATATCACACTTCTTCCTTTATGTTCTTCCCTTCTATATAGAATAGAATGTTTGTTTTAGAGACAGCTTCCAGGTCTTTACAGCTGCAATGAGTTACTCCTCAGCAATTGTGGACAGCAACTGATCAGACTTGTCTATAGTTACTCATAAACAAGTATGAGAAACACCCTAATACCCCCAAACCCATTCTGATGATGTTACTAAGTCTACACACAAGAGGAGGTAACTCATTCCTGCTGTGTAAGATTGGACAGAATAAAACAAGCTGAGGTAGGGGGGAGCAGAAGCTATTTACTTTTCAATAACATGACCAGAGGCCAATGAGGAAGTCTAAAAAAATGTTGCTCCTTCAGGGGCAAAGCATTAGGGTGACCAAGGTGGAGACAAGGATGAAAAGGCAAGCAAGATTCCAGAGTCAGTATAGTGGTACACCCTGGCAGCTGGGTGTGTTCCTAGACTGCTGCCATTCATCTGAGGTCTTACGACATATGGAATCAGGGCTGCTATTCAAAGCCTTCTATCTTGCCAGTGACCCAAGCCTGGCCCAGATGAAGTGACTATCCTTTGTGATCCCTTTAAGGCAACATTCCATTTATTAAGCCTCATTGGGTTATGAAAAAGGATGGAGTAAGAGAGAAGAGCTAAGTATGGCTTTTGCATGACAGGTCAATCATCAATATGTGACGAAGGACAGAGTTGACCAAGATTCTTTCACATACATTTCCCCCAATTCTAAGCTTGCTTTAAAGATACTCTCTGAAGACTAGAGATGTACTCCTTTGGTAGGGTGCCTGCTTGCAACGCACAAGCCATGGGCTTATGCACAGCACCACAAGTTTAACAACCGTAACAACCTTTTCTCTTGGTTCACAACTGTACGTTTGGAAACACACATAATCCATACAGTATATCCCACTTCACTAGCAGTCACTCCCTCAGCACCTTGATCTCATCCCACCCATTACAGTAACACCGAGGATCAAACAACACCCACAAGGCCATGGAGATCCTAGAGGCCCAGAGAGACTTCAGTGACCACAAGTCAAGAGGACAGCTGGGAAACTTCAATGTGAGAGGGGAAAGTTAACCACACAACAAAGAAAACCATATTTTATTAAACCAGCAAACAAAATATTGGAGACAACCCCCCCACCCCCAAAGCTGGGAGAAGTTAAGTGCAAGCGGCTATAAGGAAAACACATGGGTGGTCTGCAGCACATAGGGTATGTGTGGGCACACATACCACTTTCTGTCCTTCCCACACACCCCGGTGAAAAGCCAGTACAGTGGCATCTTCAGGGCTATCCCCCAGCTTTTCTTTCTGCATTCTGTAGCCTGTGTCTCCTTTGCCCCTGGACAGTCATGCTGCATCTTCGACAGAGGAAATTTAACATCTCTAACCACAGGTCTGTGCTACAAAGCTGCAGTTTTTGGCTCCTGGAGAAGTCGTTTCTGTTTGCACTCACCAGAGAAGCCAGGGGCCCTTGTTCAAAGCTCCAGTCTCAAAGAAAAATATCAAACCTTTAGAACTAGTTATTTTATTAAATGATATTAATACACATTCCAAAAGGATTTCATTGTTTTTGTTGTCGTCTCTAAAGCATGTACTTGTTTTCCACACTGAACACGTGAGAATATCAATCCAACATATCTACTTAAAAAAAAAATCTTAACAGGTAACCCCACCAATTAAAAATATGGAGGTGGAGAGGAGGGAGCAGTAATATACAGCTGAAGCCTAACTGCATCAACAGGTAACAACAGGACTGAGTGAATATTCTGCAGTAAGAAAGCTGAGCCTATTCACATTGTCTAGATAGGCTGGCCGTACCATACGTATCATGTTGTTTCTGGTGCCAGAAAGGAGAAAGGTCCTCCACTGCTCACAGCACCCTCCAGGGATCAAACCAAGTTCTGTCGACCTCAGTTGCTGAGAGGGCAGAGAGGTGCAGGGAAGAGCTCCCATCTATGCTGAATGGAGAATAAACTCTCAGAAAAACTTTAAGGATCCTATTTCTGGTCTAGCATCATTGAATTCTGTGTGGTACTATCATATTCAAAGAATTCTTTGTCTGTGGTTTTACAATGAGCACCAAGGACCTTAGTGACAACTACTCATTCTGCTTCATATGACTCATGTCCTTGCTAAGACACACTATATTGTGCATTCTTTAAAAAATATCTTGTTTATTTTTATTTTTTTTTTTTAAACTCAGGGTGAAATACAAAAGTCAGAGCATGGTACGGAGTTTAAATCACAGACACAGAAAGAATAAAATCCCTTGTTTTATCTTTATGAATACCAGAAATGTCTTTTGTTTCACTATATCACATATATACAATTGTCTTCGTTACTATTGTAGACAGATTTCCTTAAAATATCTGACAGCATAATACAATCCTCACTTCCACCCTGAAACACACTGAAGATTTTGTGGCAAAAACAAAACAAAACAAAACAAAACCCCACAAAAACCCAACCCCCACATATTCCACCCTTGAACTGGACAAAAGGACTCGGGTCACGGATTGGCCACTATGCTTTTGAGGACAATTATCTTGCTCAACATTCCAGAAACCACATTCCTGATACTCCCATATTTTCTCAGAAAATCAAATAGTCAGAGAGCCTTTTCAAGTAAACAGTATGTTTAGCTTAAACAAGAGCGGTAGGAAGAATTCACATTCTTTTATTCTAGACTGAAAAACACCCCCACTTAATTTCTGGAAAAAAAGAGATCAATTCTGAAAGTCACAATTCCCTGACACCCACCCACCCCCATTCTGTTTGATAGTTTTCTACTAAACAAATGCCTTAAGACTCAATATAACTATACTTCCTTTGCTTTGCTATGCTATATACCCAATCCCCTCCACAAGGTCACATGGTATCAGGCATTTTTGTGGGAAGAACTACAGGGCAGAGAGGCTTGAGAAAGGAAAAGAGGAACTGGCTCAAAACGGGAATGTGAATGAGGATGCTGTCTTGCTGCACGCTTAAAGAGAACACAGATCCCGGATTAGGTTGGACAGCTTTTCTTCTGAAAAGTGGTTTGTTCTGAGATAAAGGACTGTCTTCAACCGCGTGCTGCACTTCCTTCCCTCCATCTTCCTACCCCACTAAGAAATTCAAACGCTCCTTTACTTCCTTATGTTCTATCCTAACTTGCTAAAATTCCTTTAAAAGCTCAACACATTGTTTTACACACCTACCTGGAGATCATCAGTGTTTACCGTGGTGCAAAATACCAACAGAAATTGTAGTAAGCAGTATTTGCTCCCCAGATAAAGAATAAAGCACTCCAAGCACAGTGATTGTCTTTTCCCCAAGTATCAGATGCAGAAACACAAACAAACCTTTTAATGCAGGGAAGAAAGCTCTCCCCTCCACAGCAATGACCCAGGCAAAATGTCTTATTAGCTGACAAGGGTGGGGGGGAGAGGTGGGCACTGAAAAGATCAAGTTGCTTCCTATCTGCTGAGGGCCAACTTGGTTTCATGAGGACCCACTTTCTATGTAAAGATGGCCAACAATACCCACCTGTCTCTAAGACACACCTACAGAGTAGCATGTAAGAGTACCGCTCTTCTCCTCTGAAACATAACAGCAGGGGTGAATACAGGACTTAGAAGGGGGAAATGCTAAAGATAAATATTTCCCTTTCTCTAATAGTTAATGTTTGCAGAAAACCACCAGTGAGGCACCACAGTAAAATGTGTGTCTACTTATACATTTAAGAAGGCAAGGATATTTGACCTACACCTGTTTAATAATGTAGTCAGAATAAACAACTGAGGGAGAAAATTCAGGGAAACCAATGGGGAAAGGGCTTGGAACTATCCAAATTCTTCCTATTTCCTTGTTTACAAAGGGTAGTGGGTCACATAGCACCATTTAATGATCCCTCCCCTAGCTTTACATACTGTGATCATTCCTAATTTTAATATTGAAATTATATTCAGCCCTTTTGTTCATTTAGAGGAGACTTTTTTCTTTCTTTTGGGGACAAAGTTCTACTATGTACCTCAAGCTGACTTCAAACTTGCCGCTGTCTTGTCCCTGCCTCTCAGCACTGGGGTTGTGGGTGTGTGCCACCACACCCAGCAAGAGAAAACTTTCTACAATATACAATGAAGTTGGTACTGCCTCAGATTCATTGCTTGGTAATAGTTCAGAGGATGCTGAAAAAAACAAAAGATAAAGAACTGTTTCAACATGTCTTTAGAATAAAGCAAATACACCTGGCAGGCCCAAAACTGCCCACATTTTGTCCTTTTGCAAACACCTCTTGGCCTTCAGCAGGGCAGAGAATTCAAAGAAGGGAGCCAAGCCAGTCATTGAAGTTGCTTTGCTGGAGAGGGAAGCAGACAGGGATCCTCCCGCTATTATTAGAAAGGCCAAGCCCCAAATGACACCCCAACATTGCACATGTTATTACCTGTACTGACCGAAGTTTTATTTCAAATGTGAGTTATCTGTCCAATAGATGGATTAAATATTGTTTTCCTCCCAACTCCCGAAAGAAACCCCCAGCCAAATGAAATGGCTTTGGTTATGTTTACTTTTTTTTTTTTTTTAAAGAAACAAAAACAAAAAAAAAAAAAAAAGAAAAAGAAAAAAAGAAAAGAAAAATACAAACAACTTGGGAAAGAAAGGTCCTAAGTGCAGAGAGGAGTGGAAAATAGTAAATTGTTATCATGTATATGTTTTGAATTTGTAAGGGAGGCCCTCATTAAGAAAACAAACAAACAAAAAAAAAAGGTCAAGAGAGGAAACAAAAACAAGAAACCAAACTGTTACTTCCAATGTTCTCTAGACTGTTCAAAATGCCTTTCCCTGATTTCCATCAGTACCTGGGAGGGAAGAATGGGCGTTTTGGTGCAAAGAACGGAGGGCCTCTAACAAAAGGTGGCCTGGGTCTCTTTAAACTGTGGAATGGGTCTCTGCCGAGAAAAGCTTCCCTAGGCCGAAAGTCTGGCCGGGGACTCCGTAAAATCATACCACTCCGGCTGATGGCGTCTCTGTGTGCAGGACCCAAGGGAAGGCCACTGCTGCTGGTGTTGCCTCCCCCACCTCCTCCAAGGGCAGGGCCTAGGTGCTCCAGAGGGTGGGAAGGCAGGCTCAGGCTCTCTCGTGCACGGCTAAGACCAGGGCCATTGAGGTCCCTGGGTCCTGTGAGGACCCCAAAATGCTCAGCCAGGGTCCCTTGAAGGAGGGAACTATGGTCCTTGGGAAAAACTGCCACAGGCCCAGTCACTCCATGCTCTGGCAGTGGTGGAGTTGGGAAAGGTACAACCCCAGAGTGGTCAACAGGGGGAGGGGGAGGGGGCGGAGTAGCAAAGGGAACACCAGTCCCTCCGCTGCTGCTAAGTTCCCCAGGGGGCGGGGGCGGGGGCGGGGGCGGGAAAGGAACTCCGCTGTGCTCTCCTGGAGCAGGTGGTGGGGCAGCGTGGGCCAGAGATGCCTCCTTTGTAAAGGGGTTCGAAAGATCCACAGAGGGCAGATGAGTGGGCGCCTCTCGAGAGAAGATGCCACCATGATCCTTAGGAGGGACGGGTGGGGCAGATGACGGCCCCACTGGCTCTCTTTGAAAGGGTGTCCCATGTTCCAAGGGGGATGGGGGGAGATGGTGCTCAAATGTTGAGTTGAAACTGCTGGGACGAAAGCTGGCGACACTCTCCTGAAACTGGGGCGCCCGTTCCTTGTATGGCGTTGTCTTAAAGCCAGTGAGGCCTCCGCTGCTCCCACCCCCAAGGGATGCCAACTCAGAGGCACTCGAGGGACCATTGTCAAAAGAGCTGCCTGTTGTGCTCAGATCAAACCAACCTACTCTTGAAACCTCCCGCCCATGTCCTCTATTTCCCTTCCCAGGGACTCGTATGGACTCTACAGTCTGTATCGGCTCCCCTGGCATCCTCCTATTGGCTGCATTATGATAACCCAGAGTTTCTATGGGGGCCCCCTTTTCTTCTGTGCTATCAGGTAAGTCTAAACAGGAGGAAGAGACTCGGGTTTCTATGCGATAGTGTTCTTCCTGTTGCTGTTCAGTGGTAGGCAAGCTGGGCTGGGTAAGGTTTGACAGACTGACACCATCACTTGAAGTACCCTTGTTGGGGGTCTGGCCAAAATGCTTGTCATCTGAGGGTTTGCGAGAGGCATTTTTAAGCATATTCTTAAACTCAATCGTCGATGTGGTAGAAATCGTGGAGGCCAGAACTTTCTCCATGCCTGAAGTGGGTGGGTGGCCCGTTGGAGCGGCAAGAGTATTCTGCGAAGAGAAAAGGGAGCGATGTGGGACTGAGTGAGCAGAGTCTGGGTACTGCTTCTGTGGCAAAGTGAGATGCCCAGTGGTAGACTGGGACAAGCTACTGTGGTTGGAGTCAGGGGCGAAAAATGAATCATTCTTACACGGTGACGGTGACCGGTCAGACCCAGGTTCATTCCCTCTTATACTGAAGGCACCAAATAGCCCAGGGGGAGATGAGAGATGGTCACAGTTCTCACTAGAGTCTAGGAGTGCCCTTACAGATGGAGGGAAGGCAGACTTTACCCCAAACTCTTGGGCCCTGTGGTTATAACTGGACATAATTGGCTGGAAATCGGTGGTGTCAGAAAGCTTGCTTGACTTGAGGATGGATTTGGCTGGTTTCTTCTCTAGGTTCATCACAGCAGAGGGCGGAGGTCCTGAATATTCAAAATCTCGGTAATCCTCATCTTCCTGGAAAGAAGTGTCAGGGAAGAACTTTTCCTGTGAAGAGTCCATCAGGGAAGACGGTCTCTCTACTCCCTCAGATGGCTGCTTGTAGGGAGCATCACTGGCCAGGCTGAAGGGCCGATACGCAGACACAGAATTGGGGAGCTCTTGGGAGTAGCTTTCATCTCTTCCAGGGGGTGGAGATCTTGTACTGCTTGGTGTTGAAGAACCCGGACTGATGATCTTAGATAGCAGGGACATAGTGTCTACACTGCTGGATGTGGGCTTGTCCATCATCTCATCCTGAGTGGGTGTCCCACTGCGTTCATCCCGGACAGGGGTTCCATCAGTGTTGTCAGCTGAAGTGCTAGTAGGACCACGCTGGAAATCTGAGGAGTGGCTCTCTGATGGGGCACTGGATCCCAAGCTGCTCAGGATTGGGATGTTTAAGTTTAACCCACTGAAACCAGGGTTACCTTTTAAGAAGTTGTGGATCTTCATTTCCAGGCTTGGGGAAGTGGACTCTGATTCCAGCTTTGGCTTGGAGACCTCTGAGGACTGACACATGGCAACTTCAGTAGGTGGGGCGGCAGGGCTAGTATTGTGGGTACCTGTGAATCCTAAAGAACTGGATGGTAATTTAAAAGTAGTGCTTGGGAGCACGGGACTTTGCCCAACTGATGCTTTGCCTGCTGAAGTCGAAGAGACTTCAGCAGTTGAAGAATTAGGAGAATAGCTGAAGCTTTTGGAGAGTACATTTCTCCCCTTCATGGCAGAGCCTGTGGTGCTGGCAGGGGAGGCTGTAGAGCTCTGGGATGTAGCTTCACTGGCTGTCACTGGGTTCCCAGTAACACTCTGAAGTAAAGATGACAGGCCTGCAAAAACACACATTACAGGGTTAAAAAGAACTACCCACATCAGAATGAAAATAGGCTTATCAGATACTATCATTCACTCCGGTGGGAACCAGATAGATTTTAAAACACAAAGTTAAAAGGAATCCAGACTAAACAGGCAGTGTCTAGATGTTACAGAAAACATCAGGACAATTTATCAATCGAAAACAGTGAAGCGTTCAGACATTCCCAGAACAATCCAGACACAAGTCCAGTACTAAAAGGTCACAGCAAAGGGGGATTTTCCATGTCAGAATCATTCACAGCTTAAACAAAACAAAGCAGGAGAGGAACGGAAGCAAATCCTTCTTAGCACAACATTCTAAGCCAGTATCTGTATCTGAGCTGTGGAACCACTCAAAACACAAATGAATATTCCCACATTTCCATCCATCACAATTTACTCCAATATGTTAGCATGCACTGTTGTTTTCAAGAACAACATATACAAAATTCAGAAATCTGCTTCAATAATACTCTTGCTAGAATACTGTCACTTTTAAAATTAATTTGTACGTGTATAGGTGTTTTGCCCCATATCTTCATATATGTCTATGTACCACTTGAATGCCTGATGACCAAGGAGGCCAGAAAAAAGGTTTGAATCCTCTAGAACTGGAGTTACAAACAGCTGTAAGTTATTTGGGTGCTGAACATCATCTCTCCAGTCTTTTTATAAAGTATTTTACTTAATTTTTTTCTTTTATTTTATGTGAATTGGTGTTTTGACATGGGTGTCAGACCTCATGGAACTGGAATTATAAACAGTTGTGAGCTGCCCTGTGGGTGCTGGGAATTAAAGCTGAGTCCTCTGGAAGAGAAAACAGTACTCTTAACCACTGAGTTATTTCTCCAGGCCCAGTCCTGTCTGTCTCTTTATGAGGGGTGGGGTGTTCTCCTGGCCTTACACTCTAATCCTCCACCTTCTTATCACAGAGGTTTTAAGTGTGTATCATAACACCCAGCTTCCCCCCACCTTTAATTCAAGTTTATTAATATTTATTTTTTGAGGCAGGGTCTCAACTTCATAGCTTCGAAGGGCCTGGAGCTTGCTATGTAGACCAGGCTGGAGTTGAACTCATGGAGATCTTCCTGCCTCTGCTTTCTGAATACTGAGATTATAGACACATGCCACTACAGCCCGGCTCTTTTCTTTTTTCCAAATTATTTTTATTTATGTGTATGTGTGTATATTTGTACGTGTGTATAGCCTGTGGGGGACTAAAGAAGGCATTAAATACTCTGGAGCTGGAGTCACTACCAGGTGTGGGTGCTGGGACAAGAACCGGTCATGTTCTCACTGCTGGGCCTGGGCCACTGCTCAGCCCCTTTTGGTTCCTTTCCAGTTTTTTTCTTTTTCTTTTCTTTTTTTGAGACAGGGTATTGCTGCTATGCAGGTCAGGCTATCCTCAAACTTTCTCTCTTTCTTTCTCTTAAAAAGGCAGGGATCACAGGTGCTCACCACAGAGGTAATGCTTTCAAGACCAACTTTGTTTGTAAAAGACAGCAATGATAAACAGAAAAACAGGCACCACAAAGCCAGACCAATAGAAATGCTGTTCTTATCATACAAAAGTCCACAACTTCTGTTTTATACCTAGGAAAACCCAAGGATTATTGATCAGTACAAACTGACAATGATGAGATTCAGCCCTGTATACTGATAAACCTCAGAACCATGGAAAAAAAATTCTTCGGTTCAGGCTGAAGGTAATGAAATCAAAGCGCTCCTGAAAATAAAACAAACTCCAGGATCTCCTTAAATAGCCAGAGTGGACTCAAGCTCATGATATTCCTGCTTGCCAAAATTACAAATGTATACTGCCATGTCCAGGCAGAAAATAGTCCACAAGACAAAAAATTGAAAAGGAAGAAACATAAGATACCCTTAAGCCAATCATACTTTCTCAAATTTACTCACTTTCTACTCATAAATGAAAATTTCAATTCTTACTAAATCTACTAAAACTATCTTTTGGCAATAAAACACCTAAAGAAAATATTTCTGATATTTCAGTAAGTGATTCTTCAAAATATCAATTAAAATGTCTTTAAATATCAATTTAAAATCATATTTACTAAGGGATCTCAATTTTTAAAATTTTCCTCAGACTTCTAATTTTTATAGTGAATTCTGTATGTGTACATGCACAAATGGGGCTACATGTGGAGGCCAAAGATCACCTTTAGGCATCAGTTCCTCAGGAGCCATCCACCTATTTTTTGAGGCAAGGTCTCTCATTGGGAACTGGGGCTAACTGATCAGGCCAAGTCAGCTGGGCAGCAGGTTTCATGACACCATGCCTAGATTTTAATGTGGGTTCTGGGGATTGAGCTCAGGTCCTCATGCATGCACAGACAGCAAAATTACCACCCGAACACATCCTAAAGTTAATTTAAGTAAATGAGCCTCATTGTGCCATGTTCATTTAACACGTCATTTAATTAACTTCGATATTCATCCTCCTCTCCTCCATCCTCCCTTTTGCTGGTCACCTTCCTCTCTGCAAACAATAATTCCATCTGCTTTCCTGGCACATCTATTTCACCCCCAACCAAGACCTTTTCTTCACCTCTCATGGATTTCTAGTTTAACATCCACATAGACACAGACACAATTTATTATGCCTTTGAGAGAAAATAAGGTTGTCTTTCTGTGTCTGGCTTATTCTGCTTAACACAATGATCTCCAGTTACACCCAATTCCCTGCAAATGTTGGTTTGTTCTTTTTTTTTATGGTCTTTATAAGGTTAAATTAAGTTAAATATGCATATGTACACATTTTATCTATCTGTGGATGGGTATCTAGTCTGGTTCTTGACTACTGAAAGTAAGGCAAAACTCACAAGGACACAGAAGAACCTCTATGGTGTGATCATTTCAGTTCAGATGTAGACCCAGGAACAATTATATCTGAGTTCCATTTTCTGGTAGGAAAGTTCATCCTGACTTGCATGGCAGCTAGACCAGTTTACAAATCTACAGCCTGAACATAAATCTTACTATTATTATTTTTGCTTCATATGCTAAGTGAATGCTCTATACTAAGCTACACTCCTGGTACACGTCTGTCTTTTGTTCTTTGTTGTTGGTTTTTTTTTTTCAACACAGGGTTTCTCTATTGCTTTGGAGCCTGTCCTGGAACTTGCTCTATAGACCAGGCTGGCCTCAAACTCACAGAGATCTGCCTGCCTCTGCCTTTCGAGTGCTGGGATTAAAGGCGTGTGCCACCAATGGCCGGCCTCAGGTCCATCTTTGGAGGCAGTCTTGCCCAGGATGTACTAGCACCTGCTCCTTAGCATCCACTGGCATAAACTGTGATCCTTCTGCCACTGCCTCCCAGGTGGGGGTCACATACACCACACCTGCTCTTTGTTTATTCTTTTGTTTTTCAAGACTGGATATTCTAGAACTCACTATATAGACCAGACTAGCCTCAGACTCAGAGCTCCACCTACCTATACCTCCCAGGTACTGGGACTAAAGGCATTCAGCACTATACCCCATTATTACTTATTTTGTTTTCTTAAATAGGCATATGCTATACAGCCCAGGCTAGCCTTGAACCCATGGCAATTCTACCCAAATGCTAGGATTACAGATGTGAGGTGTGTATGACTTAAAAAAAGAGATTCAGTATCATCTTTCAGATACAGTGGACATGCTCTTCCACAGACCACTGTTGTTGCAAAGAAGATACCGTCAGGCCAGTGAGATGGCTCAGCAGGTAAGGCACTTGATGCCAAGCTTCATGACTTGAATTTGATGTTCAGCACCCACATTGTAGAAGGATAGAACCAATTTTCACAAGTTGTCCTTAGACCTCCATAAGAACTGAAGCTCATGTACACCCCCAATAAAAATAAAAAAGATACTAGATTTCTGTAATATGTAAAATTCTTTTTTTATCGCTTTACTACATTTCTTTCATGTCAACAAGCAGTGAAGTCTTTCTCTTGAAAATTTGTCAACAAGATTATGGGATGACAAAAATAGAACAAAGTTCCTTTGTTCCTTCCTTTCTTTCCTTCAAAGACAGGGTTTACACACACACACACACAAAACAAAACTTAACACACACTAATCTATACTGAGAGTTAGGATTAATGTAACCCAGTGGTGCCATGGTACAGGTCAGAGTATTAAATAATCATCAAGAAATCTGGTTTTTAGTTTCAGCTCATCACAGATCAGACAGACCTGTGACCTTAACCAACCATTATCACCTCAATGAGCCTAGTTTTCTTACCTGAATGGGAGGAGAATAAACTAAATAATATTTAGTCTGCTTTAATGTTGGCATTTTCAATTTTATAAATCCCACCTCATAAGTGACAACTATAAAGGCACTAATAAATTAACTATATTGTACATTTCATGGCTTTGGATTCCTGAGAACTAGAATCCAAGTTACACTAGAGACAAACATTCACAATTTAAGTCCCTCTGGCACAGGTCAGTTTACCTTGGAGTGCAGGGGCTGACTGTGTCTGGGTTTTAGAAAGAGCAGAGAGAATGCTCTCTGGGGTGATCTCCACCTTTGAGAGGATATTTGCCAGAGGGTTGTGAGATGGTGTTGTGGCAGGTGCAGGTGTTTTCAGGCCACTGGCGAGGTTGCTGGGACTCGTAGGCGTTCCTGGAGAAGGTCTTGACGCAGAACTGACCCCTGGTGGCAGAAAGATGAACTCAAGAAAGTGCAAAACTCAATTCGGGACGCTTTCCACTCAATGAATGATTGTTTAATAGTTTCTTGGGACTGATCTACAAATAGTGCCCATTTGGACACATAACAAAGAAAAACATCTGAAAATATGAACTGTTCTATTTGGAATATTCTTAAAACAAACAAGCACTATGTTATTTTTACACACATTGGTTTTTGGAGCAGCAACCATGCAACCTACTTCTACTCCAAGGGTGTGGTGGGGTGAGGTGGTGAAGTGTGGGGTCAGGAACTAGGGCCCTGGGTGGAGCGTAGCTTGGGATCAGAGGCACTACCGTGCAGAACACTATCAGTACAAGTCTATGTTATTGACAAGGGTTTTTCTTTTGAAACAGCCTTTAAGATGACATTATACAAACTCCTTTACACCTTTACAATTCAAAACATTGAGTTGGTTATTAACACAGTAAAAAGGTAAATGGTACCAGGAGAAAAACATTTAGATTTCTTTAAAAAATGACAAAAACCATTATGAGCAGGTGTTTGTATTACAAAGAAATATAAATAAGTAAATAGAAAAAAAAAGCCTTTAATTAAAAGAATAGATATAATCTTTTCAAGACTGATTGTGACAACGGGAACGGTTAAGAACAACTAAATTTCCAAATACTAGACACATAAAACAGTATACTCTCTTAGATAACAATTTAGTTCTAACATATGAAAATACTTTTAGCTGTGAGGTAGTGGCAACACACCTTCAGTCCCAGGACTCCTCAGGCAGAGCCAGGCAGACCTCTGAGTTCAAGGCCTGCCTGGTCTACAGAGTGAGTTCCAGGACAGCCAAGGATACACAGAGAAACCCTGTCTGGAAAAACCAAAAACCAAACCATCAAACACAGAAACAGGGTCTCACAATATAACTAAGGCTGGTCTAGAATTCTCAATTCTCCTGCTTAGTTTCCTGAGTGCCAATGTTATAGGTAATACTATGTCTAGGTCACATGCTGACCCCACCACCCCAAATAATAGAGTAGGGCAGTGTACAGATGAAAATAATATGTTTCCCTATCTTTCTGCAGCTGTGTGTTGTACATTAGAGTACTTTTATTGTTGCTCCTGGTAATATGTGGATAATGGGGGAGCATGTGGCAATCAGATGACAATTTTGTGGAGTCAGATTTCTCCAGCAATCTTCATAAGATCCTGAGATTTGAATGCAGGACACATCAGGTTTGCACAGCATGGACCTCAGTATTCTTTATAAAGCAAAAAGCAGAAAACCTAGTCATGTCTAATAACAAGGATTACCCTACATGATAACAGTTATTAAAGCTGATATAAATGAATTTTCAGGGTTTTTTGTGTGGTATGTGCACAGGTACACACACCCACATGTGTGCATGTGGAGGCCAAGTGACACTGGGTATATTCTTCTGTCACTGTCTCATTTTGGAAGACAGTGTCAATCATTGAATCTGAAGCTTGAAGTTTCTTCTAGACTGGTTGCCACCCCCCAATATCTACCTGTCTCCACTTACTCCAAATGGGTTACAGGCACACGTGGCTAAGTCTAGTTTTTATGTGGGTGCAGGTGATCTGAACTCAGACACTCATACTTATGCATCAGGCACTTCATTCAATGAACCATTTCCCTGCCCACTTTCATCTTTTCTTCCAGAAAGGGTCTTATGTAGTTCAGCCTATCCTCGAACTCCTGACTTGCCTGCCTCTTCTTCCAAATGTTAAGAATATAGGTGGGCACTATCACAACCAGCTGTTTAGATGAATATGTAATAACATAAAAATGTGTGATACATACTTAAAGTTTTAAAATAAGCTGGCTTAAAAATAATATATACAATGTTTATTTTTTTTCTTAGTTTTTTGAGACAGGTTTTCTTTGTATAGCCCTGGCTGTCCTGGAACTCACTCTGTAGACCAGGCTGGCCTCTAACTCACAGAGATCCCCCTGCCTCTGCCTCCCAAGTGCTGGGATTAAAGGCATGTGCCAATGTCACCCAGCCAATGTTTCAATTACTAAAAGAAGTATTACAAATATGTAATCAATCAAATAAGCATCCATGCATATGTGTGGGTGGCTTGCTTTGGTGTATTAAGATTATTTTTGATCTTTTCTATGTCTATTCATTTGTTTTATTTATGTATTTTCTTTTCATTTATTTATTTATTTATTTTGGTTTTTCGGGGCAGTGTTTCTCTGTGTAGCTCTGTAGACAAGACTGGCCTTGAACTCACAAAGATTCGCCTGCCTCTGCCTCTACCTCCTGAGTGCTGGGACTAAAGGCTTGCACCACCACTGCCCAGCCCTGTTTATGTATTTTCATGAAAAAAATTTAAAAATCTGATCATCAACAACAACAACAACAATTCTTGATGGTTCAATTAAACCAAAGATGGAACTCCATGTTTTACTGTCCTCACTGGGATCACTTACCCGTGTTTTTCATGACTGATGTTAAGCTGCTAAGGATAGAACTGATTTTTGCCAGATCCACATTTGCCAAGTTTGGTAAAACCAAAGCTGGGGAGGGGGACAGAAGAGAAGTGTTCATGGGCTTTGGAAGAGGTGGAGCTGCTGTCGTGGGCACAGGTGCTGGGGCACAAGGTGAGGCCTTTGAGACACTTTCTGTTGACTTTGTGGGTACAGAACTGGAGACAGCTGGTTTTTCCAGGGGTTTTTCTTTCCTGTCCTCCACTGTTTAAAAAAACAAAAGAACATTCTCTGATAAGGCCACATAAAGATACACAGATTAATAGCTATGGGTTAAGGCAGGCAGTGGTGGCACACACCTTTAGTCCCAGCGCTCAGGAGGCAGAGGCAGGTGGAGTTTGAGGCCAGCTGGTCTACAAAATTACAGAGAAACCCTGCCTTGGAAAAAAAAAAGTTATGGGTTAATAATTAAGAGAGAGCTAGCCCCCATGGAGGGATACTCCCTTAGTCTAGACAGGAGGAAGAGCCTAGGCCCTACTCCAAATGACTTGTCAGATTTTGATGATCCATTTTGGAAGGCCTCACCCTCCTTGTGGAGTGGGTGGGGAATGGGATGGGAGGAGGAGTTGGGGGACATGGAAGGGAGGGAGAAGGAACTGGGATTGATACATAAAAAAAGAAAAAATAATAATAAAAGAGAGAGAGAGATAGTCATCAAGAAGCCTGAGCTGCCAGTCAATCAGTTTATAATTACTATAAACCTCCATGTGTTTATTTGGGATTAAAGCTTTGGCAGGAAAGAAACTTCTGCCCAAAAAAAAAAAAAACCACTTTAAAGTTGTAAATTCTTGGAATATATTTTGTTTATCTCAATACATCCATTTTTGTTTTGTTTTATTTGTTCAAGACAGGGTTTCTCTGTATAGCTCTGGCTGGCTGTCCTGGAACTCACTTTATAGACCAGGCTGTCACTCAACTCACAGTGATCCACCTACCTCAGCCTCCTGAATGCTGGGATTAAAGGCGTACAATACCACCACCTGGCTTCTATCCAAAATATTTTTGTATCAGTAAAGTATAAAAATCATTATGAACACTGAGCATGAAGCTCAGAGCTAGGTGCCTGTGGAAAGCCCTGGGTTTGATCCCCAGTACCATGGAAGAGAAAGCCTAATTAATTATTAGCAGGAAAGCAAAGTCAATACAGAATAACATGCTAACATGTCAGGACTTACCAATGATTTTTGCTCCATCGTCTTCCACATCTGAGAGCTCCATGTCTTCCACATCACGGTTATCTGTCACAGGCTCAGGTGTGACAGACTTGTCACTCTCCATGGTTGGTGACTGGGATTCCTCACCTCCCATCCCCTGAAATGGAGACTCAGAACCAGTTGGGGAAGGAGCATCCATACTTGGAGAAGGGACTGGTGATTCCTCAGGGTCAGGAAGGGTTGACTTCAATTGATCCAACTTCTTCTTCAAGTTGTTTACTCGATTAGCGAAGGTTTTGTAAGCCTAAAAGAAGAAAAAAAGAGCTTATTGGAACTCCCAAGCACTATTTTGACTATGGTCAGATTTCCTCATTATTATTAAAAACAACTAGCACAAAACAAGAGTATCACCATCTGCTGAGCCAGAGTAGTCTGGGTATCTCCTTGTGTTCAGTGAATATTACAACCCCACAGTTGTCTGGGTTAGAAATCTTTTAAAATTTTCATTATTGTTGTTATATGTGTATATACAATGGGATATGGATGGGCAGGCCATGGTGTGTATGTGAAGTCAGCTATTTCCTTCCATCTTTATGCAGGTTCCAGGGATCAACTCAGGTCTCAAAGGGCTTGTATACATAGTGTCTTTACTTGCTAAATCCTTTGCTCAATTAGTTAGAAATGCTCTATCAGTCACATTCATAAACCAGTACCAGTGTGATTATTTACTGAAGTTTTACTTTACTCAGATTTCCTCTTCTTAGCCCATTATTCCTTTTCTAAGTAAGTATTGTATTCCAGATTGCACAGAAGTTATGTTTCCCTGGGTTCCTCTTTTTTGTAATAATTTGTTTGAATTTCTTTGTTTCTGATAACCTTAACAATTGTGTGTACTTACCTTAACAATTCTGATGAGTACTAGTAAGGTCAATTAATTTTGGCTAGTGATTATGTCATGATTAGATAGAGGTCAAAATTTTTAGGGGGAGGCCCTGAGTTGTCATCCCCACATACTCATCAGCTCACCACTGTTAACGCTAATACCAATAATCTGGTAAAAACCCAAGTATCTCTCCCCCTTTCCTTAATATTTTACTGTGTGTATACATGTGTGTGAATAAACATGCCCCATGACAAGCAACTTTTGGAAACTGGCTCTTTTCTACCAACCCTGTGAGCCCTGGGAATCAAACTCAGACCCTCAGGCTTGGCAGCAAGAGCCTTCTTTCTTTACCTGCAGAGCCATCTCAATGGTCTCCTTTTATGCCTCGATTATCTTAATTGCCAAAATCTTAAAGCTGGGTACTTTAAAAATACCCACCACTCGGGAGACAGAGGCAGGTGGATCTCTGGGAGTTCAAGGCCAGCCTGGTCTACAGGGTGAGTTCCAGGACAACTAGAACTGTTTCACAGAGAAACCTTGGCTCAAAAATCCAAAAGCTAATTTGAGTGTGAGTGTGTGTGTGTGTACATGTTGGAGAGCATGTGCAGAAGTCTGAGAAAAGACTGTGGGAGTTTGTTCTTTCCTTCCATTGTTCAGATCCCAGAGCTCAAAGTCAGGTCTTTAGGCTTGGTGGCAGGTACCTCTACAAACTGAGTCACCTTACCATGACCCCTGCCCCCTTTGCTTTGCATCTTGAACCATCATCACATTATAGGTATTATTTTATTTCGGCTAGACATTCAAAAAAATTATTAAAAAAACAAAAACCCCACTAATATCCCTAGCACAGTAGCACCTGTCTATAATCTTAGCACTTAGATAGGTGCTCTTGCAGAGGACCTCAATTCAGTTTCCCAGAATCCACACGGTGGGTCACAACTGCCTGTAACTCCAGTTCCAGGAGATCCAACACTCTCTTATGGCTTCTGAAGACCCAAGGTACAAGGTTTTGTGTACATACATATGTGTAGGCAACATTGAAAAGAATAAAGGCAGGGGACTGGAGAGATGGCTCAGCAGTTTAAGAGCACAGACTGTTTTCTTCTGGAGGACACAGGTTCAATCCTCAGCAAGCACATGGCCAATGATAACCAACTGTAATTCCAGTTCCAGGGACGTGACACCTTCTTCTAGACTCTAAGGACACTGCATGAATGCAGTGCAAGGATGTATATCCAGGCATATGTTCATGTACATAAAGTAAAAATAAATTCTCAAAATAAATATCTTACAACACATCGCGCAGAGGAGGAGAATGGGAAAAAAAAAAAAATCTTACAACAACAAAATGAGTTGGCATGGTGGCATGTTCCTTTAATCCCAGTGTTCAGGAGGTAGGGGCAGGTGAGTGAGGCTAGCTTGGCCTACAAAGTAAATTTCAGGCTAAGTGGGTCTACTTAGACCCAGTCTGTATAAAAAAAAAAAAAAAAAAAACCAGCAAGACTGATGTAGAACACTGCCCAAGCATGTGAAAGGCTCTGGACTCCATTTCCAGTCCTGGAAACAAAGAGCTGTCAAGATGGCAAGATACATAGTGAAGGAAAGAGTAGTATCTAACCTCTACATGAAGGCTTTTGGATTATGCTCCATGAACATACATGCACACACATGCAAACAAACAAACACCAAAACAACCACAAAAACTCAAAACAAAAACATAGTTTAACATTTAAAAATAATAAGGGGGCTGAAGAGATGGCTCAGAGATTAAGAGTACTGGCTGCTCTTCCAGAGGACCTGGGTTCAACTCCCAGCACCCACATGGCAGCTCACAACTGTCTATAACTCTAGTTCTAGGGAATCTGACACCTTTACACCAATGCACATAAAATAAAGTTAAATTACTGAAGATAGATAGATAGATAGATAGATAGACAGATAGATAGGAAAATTAGACAGATATGGTGGTGTATGCCTTTAATTCCAGCACTCCAGAGGCAGAGGCAGGCAGATCTTTGAGTTCAAAGCTACTCTGGTCTATAAAGTGAGTTCCAGGACAGTCAGAGCTACACATAGAAACCCTGACTTGAAAAACAAACTGTGGTAGAATATTATTTTAAGGTGTGTGACTTTTGTTAATGCTGCATTTGATGAACTGTGAAGCTGTGATTCTGTGCCTGTCTAAAACGCCTGATGGTTTAATAAAGAGCTGAACAGCCAATAGCGAGGCAGGCAGGAGCAAGGACAGGCGGAGCCGGCAGGCAGAGAGGATAAATAGGAGAAAGCAGAGCAAGAGAACAAGGAGAGAAGCCCTTCAGGGGTCAGCCACCCAGCCAGGCACAGAGTAGGAAGGAAAGTAAGATATACAGAAGCAAGGAAGAAAAAAGCCCAGAGGGAAAAGGTACACAGGATAATTTAAGATAAGAAATCAGCTAAGCTAAGGCCAGACATTCATAACTAAAAATAAGCTTCTGTGTGTGATTTATTTGGAAGCTAGGTAGTGGATACCCCAAAAAGCCAAAAGAGCAAAAACAAACAATGCATTACAATAAACCAACCAGGGGGAGGAGGAAGACTCCTTAAAAGCAAAAACAAAAACGCCAACCAAAATAGATAGATGAAACCCATAAGTCTCTCTAGGTACAATGTCTGCTGTGTAAGCTTTAGGACCTAGGTTCAGAAACCCAATACCCACTTAAAGATTGATGTGATGTCTATAATACAGTGCTGTGTGTGTGTAAGAGTGTGTGTGTGTGTGGGGGGGGGGTCAAAACAGGAAGACCCCCCCCAGGACTCACTGGCTAGCCAGTCTAGCAGAAACAGTAAGATCCAGGGTTAGTAAGAGAGCCTGTCTCAAATAAAGAGGAGGGCTGCAGAAATGCCTTAGTGAGAGATAAAACAGACTGCTCTTGTAGAGGACCTGGTTTACCCATTACCTACAACATGCACATGGTGCACAGACATACAAGTAGGCAAAACACCCATATCCATAAAATAAAAATAAATAAACAAATCTTTTTAAAGAAATGGAGAAGACACCTTAGGTCAGCAACCTTGGGCCTCCACATGTGCAATAGAGGCACATGCTCATACCTCCATGTATAACACACACAGTAAAATAATAACAGATACACATCCACTTAAAGGTATTGCAAAGTGTAGGCGCATCCAAAAGTTAGGTGAGGAGTACTAGCAGGAAGGCTACACGAGAAAAGCCAAGCTCTCATTAGTAGAGCCCTTTGTTCTGATGTTGATTTGGGGAAACAGTGTCAAAGGTTGAATATCCAGGCAAAAGGACATGAAGTAAAGGTACGCTGAGCAGTAAAGCTTTTACCAGTCTTTTTAGTATAGCAAAACAAAAGCTAGACATTGAAAAGATAGCTACTCTGACAAAAGGAAGGATGGAATTGGCTCACACATTTTTGTTTTCCTCCATGCATTTTCTGAGGGCCTGGGAAGCTCAGCAGATGAAGGTACTTGCTACCAAATCTGATAGCCGATGTTGGCTTCCTGGCATGCACAGGCAGAAGAGAAGCAACTTCCAAAAACTGTCCCCTGATGTCTATGCATGTGCCATAGCACCTGTGCTGTCCTACCCCCCTCCCCCACCCCATGTTAACACCCAATTAAGAATAATGTTTTGTTCAGTTTTTTTTGGTGGGGAGGTGTTTGCTTTTCAAGACAAGGTTTTTCTGTGTAGCCCTGGCTATTCTGGAACTCATTTTGTAGACCAGGCTGCCTCTCTGCCTCCCAGTGTTGGACTTAAGACTTAAAAGATGTGAGCTACCACTGCCTGGCTTTTCACTCATGCACCCCTCTCCCTCTCTATATGTATGATATATGCACATACATAATTTATATTATATATAATTTGGATAATAATATATACACATTTCATTAATATATAAACCACCCACATTCATTTTGGGGGTAGCACATGAGTATGCATATGACACAGTACACATATCGAGGTCAGAGGAAAATTTGTGGGAAAGCTGGTTTTCTCCTATCATGGTGACTGAATGCAATTCAACAGGTTTGGCAGCAAGTGCCTTTACCCTCTAAGCCATCTCATGAGCCCCCAAACTATTATATTCTATGTATAGAGTCATATTATGCTTTCATCTAGTCATAGTTTTCATTTCTATAATACTGTGAACTTCTACAAAAGACTACAAGAAACAGGAAAACCAAATATCAAGACATGATAAGCAAACAATCAAAAGCAGAGGGACTGTTACTATGAGTTACTATGGTGAACCAGGCATGTCTAGAGGTTGTTGGAAATCACTCCTTGTTAGATGACGCTGAAACCTTTAATTAAAACATTCTAGGAAATGATTGCAGGCTTTTCTTAAGGTCTATGGCCTATGGGAATAAAGTTCCCAAACTCCCATACATTTACGTCTTCTGTCTTTGTGAATAAGCATGACTTCAGGGGAGAGGTCTATTTCACTCCAGCCCCTCAATTATCAAATGTTTGCTTCTTTGACCACTTGCATGTTAAAATTACAAGGGTACCTTTAGTCATTCATGGTATCCCAACTTTAAAAAAAAAAAAAAAAAAAAAAAAATCTGAATAGCCTGGTGGTGGTGCATGCCTTTAATGCCTTTAATTCCAGCACTCAGGAGGCAAAGACAGGTGGATCTCCGAGTTCAAGGCCAGTCTAATCTAAAGAGGAAGTTCCAGAATAGGCTCTGAAGCTATACAAAGAAATCCTGACTCAAAATAAACAAACAAACAAAAACCCCTTTTTAATAGTCCAAATGTATGGGGCACTATAGAAAGAATATAAATGTCCCACACACACAGAAGGGGAAAAAAGAAATAGTAATGTACAATGGTTAGGTTGTTCATGAGTGTCGGTATCTGAGGAACCCATGTCTTAATCTAATCAACACCACTTTTTACCAGCTATGTCTTGTTTAAGGCCACTAACTATTCAAGAGTCATTCCTTCATCTGTGTCTAATGCTCCTCATTGTTAGTCACCCTATGCAAACAGTGTCTGACATACAGCATTCAATATAAAATAGTTGCAATTACTTACATTGGCCACCACTTTCACTTCCTTGTACTGTGCTTCATAGAAAATTCCAGCATTTTCCAGTGCTTCTGTTAATGAGGGCCCATGTTTCACCTGTTTATCTAACCCATTCACAAACTCCTCTAGTTTTGAACTTGCTTCTTCAAACTCTTTGGAGAACTTCTTTCCCCCTGTTTTATCTAAAAGAATAGAGAAAGTATTTATTTCAAAATTAGAAAAGTAAAAACAAATTATCTTAGGTAGATGGTGGTGGCCCTTTAATCCCAGCACTCAGGACGCAGAGGCAGGTGGATCTCTGTGAGTTTGAGGGCAGCCTGGTCTACAGAGAGAGTTCCAGGATAGCCAGGGCTACACAGAGAAACCATGTCTTGAAAAACAAATTTAAAAATCCAAACATTTATTCTTTAATTTTATGTGTATGGGCAAGTGTTTGCATGTATGTACACTACATGTATGCCCTTGGATGCCCTGGAACTGGAATTACAAGTCACTCAGCATGGCTGCTGGGAAATGAATCTAGGTCCTCTGGAAAGAAAGTGCTATTAACCACCAACCACCTCTCTAGCCCCATCAGTTACTTCTTTCAGCCATACTACTCCTTAGGAATATGAGAATTAAGCTCCATTCTTTTTACTTGTATCTACTTTCTGTAGTGCAGAAGGTCCTAACATATGTCTCTTCCATGAAAAAGTAAGGTTCAGAGAAGTCATCTCATACAAACAGTCTTCACTCTTCTCTGAAAGATGCCCTTCAAATTCAACAAATGCTTTTTTCCTAGTATCAGCTGGGTTAGAGTGGGATATGGGAATTCACTCTTTCGATGCCTTTCGTTAGCTACCCAACTTGAACAAGCTACTAATCTCTTCATGAGGCTTCAGCTTCTTTATAGGATGCTTCCAGGTTATGACTGGGATTAAATTAGATGGTCTATGTTCAAGTTGAAGTATGGTACTGTAGTGAGATATTCACTTTGTCTGCATCTGTGGCACTGACTATGCCCATTGGGGGAGGATACAGAGGCGGAAGTGACCCGGGGAACTAGGTCTGAGGAGGAGCTCAGCCCAGGAGTGCTCTTGCTGGCTGAACTGGGTCAGGAGAGGATCCAGAGGCATCCTTGGGACCAGGAACCTGCTGGTGTTCATCTCTCTATTTTGTAAGTTATTTTTCCCTGAATAAACATCTAATTGGTGTATTTGTCTATTCTGATCCTTATTAAACCACGATATCTGGTCAGAAGTGGGATCATACAACATGGTAAGTAGACAGGGCTGAATTCCATGGATAACATTCAAGACACTCTAATCAGCAAATGCATTATCATTTATTCTGACAAGACTTTTTGTTCACACTCAATGGACACATCCTTAAAAACATTACAGAAAAAAAGCCCAGGCATCTTCATCTTCGGTGACTAAATGCACATTAGCAAATTTAAATCACTGTTGTAAAACATGAGCAGAGACTAGAAGCACCATCTGGGTTGCTGTAAACTGTAAAAACAGTGTGTCCTGCTTTTATTCTTTTCCCTACTGTGGTTTAAAGTACAAAGCACTGTGGAAGGCAGATTAGGGTTAGCTACAGAAGTATGAATGGTTTTATTTTAGGGGAGAAGTAGTCTTGTTCTAATTTATGGTTTACTTCCTTTCCCCTTCTTTTAGAGGCCCTAGCTGTAGTGTTTAAACACAGCTACCCAGTTCATTAGACTATGCTCTCTAGCCTAGTCTAAGTTGATGTAGATAATATAGGTGACAAGCTTCATTGCTAGAACCAAAATGGAAAACATTAAATACCTCAGCCCTCACTAATAGTATTATGACTTTGCTGTCCAGTGTAGATTTTCCTCTGGGGAGGTGGGGGGCTTATGACTATTTTGTATGGCCTATGTGGAAACTTCTATAAATCTTATGTTCTACGACTTTAATCCCAGCACTCCAGATGCAGAAACAAGGGCAGGCAAATCTCTGTGTTTGAGGCCAGCTTGGTCTACAGAGTGAGTTCCAGGACAGCCAGGGCTACAAAGAGAAACACTGTCTCAAGAAAAAAAAAAAAAAAAAAAATTAAAAAGCAAACAACAGCAACAAAATCTTCTAGTAAACATTGTTATTCTATAAATAATTAAATAAAAAATAAAAGCATAGTATAGAAGCAAAATAGAACACAAAAATGAACAGCTAATCATCATTTATTCATTATTTTAAAGATATACATCAAATGCCTATTATGTGAATATTTAGAAATAGTCAAGTAAAATATAATCTCTAACTGTAGAAGGCTTACCTTCTAATAAGTTGAGTATAATTATATAATTATATATAATTCATAATATAAAAAAGGAGAGGAATTTACTAGATTTTAAAAGAGAATAGAGTAACCTTACTAAAGAATATCCTCAAACCAATTAGCCACAAAGAGGAAGTAAAACTTACTTTATACATAGCAAGAAAGTGGAAAGAGTAGGAATTTATATACAAAGCTAGGTGTGGTGCCCAGGAGGTAGAAGCAGGTAGATTTTGAGTTCAAGATTAGCCTGGTACACAGAGTGAAATCCTATAAACAAACAACTCCCTACCTCCAAAATGATAAAACGGGCTAGAGAGATGTGCTACGTAAGAGCACTTGCTGCTCTTGCAAAGTACCTGGGTTGTGTCTAGTAAGGATGGCTTATTACCAGGCTTAATTCCAGCCCAGGGGACCCAATGCCCTCTTTTAGCCTCTGTTGGCACCAGACACAGATGTGATGCGCATATAGACATTCTGGCAAAATACTAATAAATATAAAGTAAAATAAATAAATCTTACCGTCCCCCCCCAAAAAAAAATCCACAAAACATATTCACCTTGGAGGGATTTATTTATTTATCTATTTTTATCTATTTATTTATGTTTCTTCCTTCCTTTCTTTCCCCCCCCCCCCCTTGTTTTTCAAGACAGGGTTTCTCTGTATTGCTTTGGAGCCTGTCCTAGAACTAGCTCTTGTAGCCCAGGCTGGCCTAGAACTCACAAAGATCCACCTGCCTCTGCCTCCCAAGTGCTGGGACTAAAGATGTGTGCACCATTGCCTGGCTAATTTCTTTGTTTTTGAGGTTCATACAAATCAAACTGTTACCTCAATGGAACACAACTACTTCTGAAAACTGCTTTACTGACGGGGGTGGGAACCCTTCCCACTTCTCTTTTGTCAGGTGATCCCACCCAGAGCCATGGTTAAAGTTCTTTTTATGGGGCACACCGGTCTGAGTACCACAAAAATCAAAGATCTAGAAAGAAACTTTAAGCTATTGGAGTGGGGCATAGTTTACAAGACAGGGTTTCTCTGGTTTGTACTGGAACTCACTCTGTAGACCAGGTTGGCCTTGAATTCACAAAGATTCAACTACCTCTGCCTCCTGAGTGCTGGGGTCAAAGGTATGCGCCACCACCAACTGGCTACTTTGAGCTATTTTATTTAAAAGAATGTATTTATTACCTTTTAAACACTTGAGAGTTTCTGTGCTGCAAACATCCACTCTCATAGTTGACAACTGTTTCTCCTTCAATTCTATCTGATCTTCTGAGCGTTTGTACATCAACAATTCTTCAATGAGGGCCTGAGACTAAACATAGACCACAATTAATTTTCATTCACAAGATCAAATACTCTCTTCCTTAGATATGTAAGACTAATGACTAGCAAAGCTCTAAGAGGAAAAAACAATTTTCTTTTCCTTTTCCTCAGACCAACAGAAAGCAATCTTCAATTCTCATGCAAAAACTATATTCTTAGCTACACACTTTATTTTAAAAGATGCTATTAGGTTTTTGAAGACAGGGTCTTACTATTTGCCCTTGCTCCATGGGCCAGGCTGAACTCAAATTTGTCTCTGCCTCCTGGGTGCTAGGATTAGCCTTCACAATCACAACCAGCAAGTTATTAAAAAAAAAAAAAAAAAAAACCAAAAAGCCTTTAAATTACCAATGTTCTCAACTTCTGGTTTATTTTTTCATCTGTACATGTATGTAGGCACACAGTACCGTGGGCATATGTAGAGGTCAGAGGCTAACTCCTGCAGGAGTCAGCATTCCCCATTCACCATGTGGATCGCAGGAGTCAAACTCCTATTAACAGGCTTGGTGGCTATCTCCCCAGTCCCTAATTATTCAAGTTAACTTACAGATATAGGGTTAACACTGAAAGACAAGCCCCTTATACACTTTAAATTTAATTAGATATATAGTATTGTGCTACTCGAAGAAAATTTTAATTTAGTAGCACTGAATTTAAAAAAAAGACTCCCTAGTAACATGCACTAAGCATAGAACTAAGCAGGCAACAGATTTTCTAGAAGGTTATTTCCCGTCTAGGGAAACAGATAGAACTTAAAGGTAATCTAATCCTATTCTGAATTCCCCATGAACACAAGAGCAGAAATAAATATGACTGGAAACTGTGGCTTCAAAGGAGAATAAATGATCTTTAGTATACTTACCAAATTCTGGAACTTACCCGAAACTCAGCAACTATCTTAGATTTGAGAGCAGCTTTTGGATTGGTAGATGCTGTTGAATGAAATAAAAATTCATTAATAACACAGCACAAAGACTTAACCAAATCCAGGATAAATCTGAGATGTAGAGTTAAGGGTGTACTCTGCAAACATACAGCAGCCATGCACACATAAATCATAATATAATCCACAGTAAAATAATTGACTATGAAACGTAAGTACTCCTAATTATGGCCAATAAACTATTTAGATAAGTCTAACAACTTACCTCCAACAGACTTGTTAAATCCCAGAATTAATGATTTGGAGACACTGAGGTAGGTACATGAAGCACCTCCTTTCCTAGTCTCATCAGGTGTAAGAAAATCTCAGTATTTCAATGTAAGAGTGTCCAGGAACAAGATATCCAATTAATCCTGAGCACTAGCTCAAGAAAATTATTTATCAACTCTAGTTAAGTTTGGATTTTACTTCTTTTTTTTTTTTTTTTTTTTTTAAGCTGACTCAGTTCATGGCAACAAAAGGCTAAATGAATTATCACTGCAATTGAACTTTGGCCAAACTGATGGCTCCGCTGTTCCTAAGCATGCAATGTATGAGCAAAAGGATGCCAGAGGACTCCCTTAACCATGATGAGTATCAGATGCTTGATGAAGCAAAACATCCCAACTCTCGTTTCACCTCCCAATTCTCTACTGTCCTTCACCTTGTTCCCTCCACACTTTCCAGGCTCTGGATATTCCTCAGTTTGCCCACAACAGTCTATAACATGCAGCATTCCACTCCCTTGATATCATGCTGGGTAAATAGGACAAAACACAACAGGAGCTCCAGATAGAGGAGGAGTTTCTGGCCAAAATTGGAGGCCCATGTCTAATCTGGTAGTGTATCCCCAAATCTGAAGGCTTTCATGGCTCCCAGAGAAATGCTTCTCAATGCCTAGTCTCCTCTTCAGCTCTGTGGTGTAACACAGCCGCCTCTAACTTTGCACATCTCTGAATGTGGAAATTAGCCTGGGTACTAGCAAGTTTTTTTTTCTTCTTTCAATCCCCCACTACTCTTGGATCTTCGCTCAATTAAACCCTTTTTCTGTATTTCCTCTGTTTAACAGTGGTTTTTAAAAGAAGTAACTTCATGCTGGCTTGATTAGTCTAAGTCACTGGGAACATCCCAGGCCTGGGAACACAGGCTTGCCATGGTTTATGCCAGGTACGGTGTCAAATGGTCTACATTTTCTTCTGCTCCAAGAGGAGGAGGTAACTTTATATTAGTTGAGATTTTGTTCCTTACTTTGTGATTTCTTCCACTGCTTATTCGGTTGTTTGTTCAGATTTTCTTTCAGCTGCTTCTGAGTTTTGAAAGTGGTACCTGGAAAACATTGCAGTTTTTGCAGTCTGGCATTATGGGAAGCTGTTCTGTCTGTCCACTTCAGTGCCAAAATTGTAGCATGAAAAAAGGCAATCCAAGACTGTGTAGTTTCTTTCATTTCTTTTCTTTTATTTTTATAAAAACAAAAACAGAAAATACCCACCAAATCTAAGAAGCTATTAAATAATGTAATTTAACAATTAATGAAACCTCCAGTTCTGAAAAAGATAAGGCAGAGGCTTAAAATATCAATTACTTTTGAATATTTTGAACAGAACAAACTCATGATGGATTCAACAGCTTCTTAGAAGGTGTTCCTTTAAAAGTAAATTTCTAGAGAAATGGTGATCATGGCAATAATTATCATCAACTTCTATTTTGTGATTTAATTACATAAATCTTATATGGAAGAACTAATTTACTTAAAACACACACAGACACACAGGAGAGAACATGTATGTACATGTACACACACACACACACACGCACACACGCACACGCACGCACGCACGCACGCACAAGAATAGATACTACAAATCTAAGTCAAATAAGCTTAGAGACTATGCAAGCATTCTCACCGCCAAACTTAAAGATGTGAAACCATGCCTAAACTTTCCCCAACAGTAAGAAGGTAGAGAAGCATTTATTAAACACAACCAATGAATATTTTAAATACTTAATGAAAGCAAATACAGTAAAATACCCAGATGACTATCACCACTTAACATGTTTGATGTTTTTAGTCAGCAGAGACAAAGATCCAACTACCTATCCCAACCACTTCTATTTTAAGTCTAGATATTCATATTTTATGTATTTAATTTTGACCAATTTAATTTTGATCATATCAGACCTGATTCCCTCATCCCTTTAGTATTATACAACAGGACTAGATCTACAGATAGAGACAGGGTTGTAAAGACTGACTTAAATTCCTTTAGGAAAGAAGAGGAACTTACTTAATGCTTCTCTCAATGCCACAATCATGTCTTCTGGATACACATTTCTATCTTCCCAGATTTTAAAGATTCGCTCTACTGACTTAGAGACAGATGGATCCCTGGAAGAAAAGTAAAATATAAAAATGCTGACAGACCCTCCAACTAGAAATCTGGGAATAAAGTTATAACAACTTACTATCACATAAATTTCTTATGTTATGCTTTTTTTTTTTTTTTGATTTTCAGAAACAATCTACTTATTTATTTCATGTGTTTTGTCTGCATGTATATACATCTGCTACATGTGTACCTGGTACCTAAGGAGGACAGGAGCAGGTGCTGGATATCTTGGAACTGGAGCTAGGTATGGTTGTGAGTCACCATGTGGATGCTGGGGACCAAACCTGGGTCCTCTGGAAGACCAACAAGTACTCTTAACCAAGCTAATTCTCAAGCCGTTTGTATAACTTTAAATATTTTTTCCAGCATTGTTTATTGTTAAGGAAAATTACCTTATCCAACACTTTATAAATGAAAAAAATGAGGTTACAGATAATACACCTTGTGATGCTTGTGAAACACAAAGACCTAATCAACACCTGACATACCTGGCATAGAAAAAGCTGAATCTAATGAACTAAAAATAAGGGACTAGAGAGAGGGCATTGCAATTAAGACTATGTACTGCCTTTGCAGACACCCCATATTGGGTTTCCATCACCCACCTTGGGCAGCTTACAATTGCCTGTAACTACAGCTCCAAGGATCCACACCATCTCCTGACCTTCATGGATACCCCACACATGTAGTATATACTCACGCAGACACTTAACATGGAGAAGAAAAAAAGAGGGTATTTATTTTATTTTTGGTTTTTGAGACAGGGACTCAACTCTGTATCCTTGGCTGGCCTGTAACTCAGTATGTAGACCAGGTTGGCCTTGAACTCAGAGAGCCACCTCTGTCTCACAAATGCAGGGATTACAAGTATATACTGCCAATTTCACGCCTTTAATTCCAGCACTTAGGAGGCAGAGGAAGATGGATCTCCACTGTGTTTGAGGCCAGCCTGGTTTTATAGAGGGGGTGCCAGGAGAGGCTCCAAAGAGAAAAACAAAAAAAAAAAAAAAAAAAAAAACTATAGAAAAAAAAGTAAATACCACCATAAAAAGAATTTAAGTTGGACATTGTCCATACATGCTTTTAATTCCATCACTTGGGAGGCAGAAGCAGGTGTTTCTCTATGATTGTGAGGCCAGCCTGATCTACAGAGTGAGTTCTAGAACAGCCAGGATTACACAAAGAAAACCTGTCTCAAAAAGCAAATAAACTAAAACCAACCCCCCAAAAAAGGAAAAAAAAAAAAAACAGTTTTCTGTTTTTAAGGAAGAGCTTGATCAAAAAAGCAAAATTAGCCAGGCAGTGGTGGTACACACCTTTAGCCCCAGCACTCAGGAGGCAGAGGCAGAGGCAGAGGGAGCTCTGTGAGTTTGAGGCCAGCCTGGGCTACAGAGCAAGTTCCAGGACAGACAGAGCTACACACAGAGAAACCCTGTCTCAAAACAAAACAAAAATCAATGGCGTTATGGTGGGGTGGTCCTGGTAATCCCAGCATATGGGAGGCTCAGACAGATCATGAGTTTGAGATCATGCTGACTACTGTGAGAACCTACCTTAATAAAGAAAACAAGGGAGAGCAAGATGGCTCAGAAGGTTAAGGTGATTTTCACCAAGTCTGATGAATTGAGTCTATCCATGGAACCCACATGGTAAAATGAGAATTAACTCCTGAAAACTGCCCTCTGATCTGACCTCCACATATATGCTATGGGATGTGTACACAATACACAAATAAGTAAATGTTAAAAAAAAAAAAAATGGTGCTGGAGAGAGTTGAGCAGTTACAAGCACTTACTGCTTTTGCGGAGGAAGGCCTAGCTCAGTTCCTTTCACCACATGGAACTTATACCTGTCTGTAATTCAGTCCTAGAGGATCTGATGATCTCTTCTGGCCTCCACCAGCACCAGGAATTCATGAGGGGGGTGTGTGTGTGTGCACACATAACATTCATATGCATGAATAAAATTTTAACAAACCAAAACAAAGATGGCATGTAGCACAGTGACAAAACACTGGCCTAGCGAGTGTCCATACAGAAGACCCTGACTTCCATACTCAGCACCAAAACAAAATAGAATACAAAACCCAAAATAATTGCACTAAGAAATACTGGGTTTTTCTTCTTTTTAAGGTTTATTGAAAAATAAGCATCAATCAACTCCATACTACAGCACATGTTCTAAGAAGAGGATTCCACCCCCAGAGAAGAAGAATCAATGCCAGGTAGTATATGCCTACAACATCAACCACCAGGATGCTCATTTCCACTTTAAAGACTAGTCTGGGATATATAGAAAGACTATGCCTTTAAAAACATGGGCTAAGCAAGGTGGTGCACGCCTTTAATCCTAGAACCACAGAGGCTGACAGGTGGATGTCTGTTTAAAGCCAGTCTGTTCTACATAGTGACTTCCAGGACAGCCAGGGCCATGTGGAGAGACTGTCTCAGGAAAACAAAGCAAAACACACACCCACAAAATAAAAATCCAAAAGAAAAAAAAAAAAAAAAAGAGAGAAAAAGATAAGGTAGAGTTGGAAGAAGGAAACAGAAAAGAAAAAAATGAGAGGTCAAATTGGTATGATCTCAAAACTTAAAATAAGGACAAAAGAATGAGAGAATATTCTAACATTCTAATATATCCATCAAAAGACAAAACAGAACCATAACTTTTTTTGTTTTGTTTTTTGAATCAGGGTTTCTTTGTAGCTTTGGAGACTGTCCTGGAACTCACAGAGATCCACCTACCTCTGCCTCCTGAGTGCTGCAATTAAAGGCATGCACCATCACCACTCTGCAAGAACCATAACTTTTTAAGCAAATCTATCAAACTATATGGACACTAAAGTAAGATTTTAAAACTGCCAGGTTTTTGTTTGCTTTTCATTTGTTTGTTTTTCCGACACAGGGTTTCTGGCTGTCCTGGAACTCTCTCTTTAGACCAGGCTGGCCTCAACCTCACAGAGATCCCCCTGCCTCTGCCTTCTAAGTGCTGATCATATTCAACTTTTATAAAACTTTAACTCTGATGTTTTCTAGAAGTTTATTAACTGGAACAGACAGACTATACTTCCATTTCTTCTCCTCATATTTTTATGCTGAGATTCTTCCATTACTTAAAAAATCTGTAAACTGAAGAACACTAAAAATTAAACTACAAATGAGCACATAACAAGAAATGAAAAATGGAAATCCTCCCACCTTCTTTTGCTTTTTTGAGACAAGGTCTCATTGTGTAGCCCTGATGGCCTCAAATTCAAGAGATCTGCCTGACTCTGCTCTCCAGGTGCTCATATTAAAGAACATGCCACTACTCCTGGTCATGTACAAAATATTTTATTCGGATCTTGGAATATGCACAATTAATTATTCAAGTCTTTGCTAAAGAGCAATGGGGGGGGGGGGTAATTTAAATTTTCTTAAATCCAAAAGCACAGTCAGGATTTACTTACTTCACCAGAGCAGCCGCTTCGGGAAGCACATCAGCAAACGATTCACGGAATATGATTGCATTTTTCCTTTTACAATTCTGTATGACGTCATTGGCAAGGTAAAAGAGATTCAGACGGTGGGGATATGTAGCTGGAGACAAAAAACAAAAAAATTACTTTATATTTAGTGCAACTTGTTCCAAATATATTGTTTTCAAACAACTATTTTAAAATTATATTTTATTATTTTAAGTTTATGGGTGTTTCGCCTACTTGTATATCACATGAGACCAGTAGAGGGCATCAGAGTAGCCAGTGCTCCTAATGCCTGAGTGTCTCTCCAGCACCTGTTAACTGTTTTATATGAACTAATTAATTACATGGATGGAATAGGGAATAAACAATTAACTAATGCACTGATTTATCAAAGCACTAAAACACTAAACCACTTGAGGTTAAGTTTCTGTTCAAGGTACTCTTCAGGTAGACAATCTCACTCTGTAGATGTTTGGCACTAAATCCTTTAGTGGCTTTATAGACACCAAGACAAAATAAAATTGTTTCTCCAAATATTTGTGAAGATCAAAAAAAAAAAAAAAAAAAAAAAAAAAAAAAAAGTTGAATAAACTCAGTCTGTTACACTGAGCACAACACTAAACTCTAATCAGAAATCAACTGTGTAAATAATGTTTAATAGTATATCATACACAGATTCCTAGATCAACCAATCCAAACACTACTCACATAACATATGTACAAGTCCTCATGTTTATTGGCTGAAGCTATTTTAATTATCTAAGTGTTCAAGGGTAATTTGACTCCATATATACATGAGGGTTAAGCTTTTCCAAGGCTCAACCTACCTAAGGTTCACTGCTATGTGCTGGCAATTCCAATATTCACATAGGTGAGTCGTGTTTCTATGGTTCCTCGGGTTTCTCAATCTCAAATTCAGTAACTTCTAAGATCTCCCCATACCCCTTTCTCTTTCTATGTTCTCCTAATTCCATTATACTGGTTCTACAGTTTCAGACATCCGTTCACTTTCTAACTCTTCAGTCTCTCTTAGAATCACTTATTTCTGTTAATTCCAGAGGATTTTTTTCCTTTTCCTTCTCTACCTAATTTAGTTTTCTACAACACGCATTCAATAACATCCTAAATTTGGATTAGTTTAAATGGGTGCTTTTACACTACCTTTCTTTGCTGATTTTTTTTAAAAATTAGATTTATTAATTTTATTTTGTGTTTGGCCTGTATGTATGCATATGTACCATCTCTCCAGCCCCTTCTTTTCTGTGTGTTCATTCTCTCTCTCTCTAAGGTGTGGAGGTTTGAATAAGAATGGCCGCCATCTCTCTCCCTCTCCCCTATGGGACAGGGTGCAATTCTTTGCTATTTCACCACCACTCCTGCCCCCTGCCACCGTGATAATGGACCAAGCATCTGACACTATAAATAAGCCTTCAAATGCTTTTTTTATTTTATTTTTTTTTTAAGTAAGAATTGCCTTGCTCGTAGTTTCATCACAGCGATTGAACAGTGATTAAGACACAAGGTCTCACTATATGGGCCTGGGATTTGGAGGACAGACCAGGCTGCCTCTACCTCCAGAGTTCTTTACTGTTTTTGAGGTAGAGTTTTGTATAGCCCAAGCTGGCCACAGATTCCATCCTCCTGACTCCACCTCCCAAAACTGCCATTGCAGGTGTGTGCTACCATCTTTGCTGCTCCTTAATTCTGTTAGAGTCTACTTGAGGGAAGTGTATGTATCAAGAAGGGGACTAAAGTCCCCTGAGCCCAGTTTCCTTCCTCAACTGGGCCCTAGTGTTAAAACAGTGCCTCCTCATGACCTTCAGCATTTGCTCTAAGATGGTATTTCAAAATATACCATCCACAATACCCTCTACAGTACCACAGGTCTCTCAGTCTGAGGACATAAGCTTACATGCTATTTTATAAACAAAGTAGACCGTTAAATGAGAATTATCTTTTCTTAAAACACGTGAAATCTTGAGATAGAGTCTAAATTTCCCAGTCTGCCCCTTGAATTTGGGGTTGTCTTAGTTCAGCTCCCAAAGTGTGCCACCATACTTCAGTTCCTATTTCTTAAATGGACAAATGAAGGAAAATAAGAAGAAAAATACAGAGGAAAAGAAAGACAGAGTGAGTAGCCTTAATTTGTCTTGGTTAGTCGACCTCCAAGGCTTCTGGTATTACAGCACAGGTTAGACAGGGCCTAGACCCTGTCTAAGGTAGGGAGGCTACAGCAGAAATGAATCCATACACAGTGTCATTGTCACAACATTAACCCCTCAACATGCTCAAGCTAAGTGCTCAAGCTTTTATTTTTATTTTTTTATCACTATGGAGAAGAAGAAAGAGGTTAATAGGAAAATAAGGGTTATTCATTTTGTTTGAGATAGAATCTCATATGGTCCAAGCTAGCCTCAATTTATTATGTATTTTAAGAATGACCTCGGAGAGGGAACTGGGATCGACATGTTAAAAAAAAAAAAAAAAAAAAAAAAAAAAAAAAAGAATGACCTTAAGCTGATGAACCTCCTGCCTCTCTAGCTCCCTAATACTGTGATTGTACTATCAAATGAGTTACTTTTCCAACCTCTGGACTGCTGATTTAAATGTAGTAATATCAAAATAAAACTGTTAGCCTGGTAACAGAAAGACATGATAATATAAATATTTATGTCTACTTGACGAAAATGTTCAGGGGCAAAACCGAGAAATGGCTAAGCAGCTAAGGGCAATTGCTCCTTTTCTAGAAGACCAAGGTTCACAGCTGCTTGTGACAGGGTTCTCTTATAGCCACACTTAGAATACTGCAGGCACGTGGTACATATATATTCAAGCACTTACACAAACATAGTAAATAAAGAAATATTTATAAAAAAAAAAAAAAGGTTAAGTGGGGGCTGGATGGTTCCTTGGTTAATAGCACTGGCTGTTCTTCTAGAGGATCAGAATTAGGTTTCCAGCACTCACACAGCCAGCCCTAGGGTAGCTAATGCCCTATTCTGGCTTCTGTAGACACAAACATGGTACACAGACCTACATTTAGGCAAAACACACATACACATATAATAATAATAGTAGTAGTAGTAGTAGTAGTAGTAGTAGTAGTAGTAGTAGTAGTAGTTGTTGTTGTTGTTGTTGTTGTTGTTGTCAAGGGCAAAGGCAATTAAACAGATCTGGAACCATGGAGAAATGCTAAAAAAGAAATGGAAAAACAAGTATGCTTACAAAGACGAACAGAAAGGACAACTAAAAAGTACAATTTTTCCTAAATTTGTTAGTGTTCCAGAAAATATTTGGAAAATTTAACTGTAACCTGTTGAATGAATGCAATGCTATCAATTACATTCTATAGTCTCATATTTCTTAGCAAAGTTTTTATGGGAAAAAATAAAGCCTTTAGTCTTAGCACTTGGGAGGCAGAGACTCAAGGGGACCTCTGTGAGTTCAAGGACAGCATGATCTACATAGTGAGTTCCAGAACAGCCAAAGCTACATAGAGAGACCCTGTCTTGACAATAAATTAATGAATATTGTGGATATTGTAATTAACAAAAATTTCAGATACTTTCAAGTCTAATCTTAGGCCATATTTATAGAATATAAGTCCTTCGAAAGTCAATTTTAATATACACTGAAAAAGGGAACCATATCCAACCTAAAATTCAAAGTAGTGTAAATTTTTATAAGACAACAGTCCAGGGGCCATCGAGATGATTCATTAGGTACATTCTCTGCCCTCCACACATCTGTCCGTCTGTCTGTCTGTCTGTCCATCTCTCTCTCTCTCTCTCTCTCTCTCTCTCTCTCTCTCTCTCACACACACACACACACACACACAAAATGAATGAACGAATGAAATTAAAAAAAACAAACAAACAAACCTACCAGGGACTAGGGAGATGGTGTATGGTAACAGTATTTACTACACCAGCATAAGGTTCTGAGTTTGAAGTCACAGTACCCATGTAAAAAGCTGGGGATGAATAGGCATGCCTGCAACCCACCCCAGCAATACAGACAGATGGATCCCAGGAAATCGAAGGAAAAAAAAGCTTAGGGGAAAGAAAAGCTTTAGTTTTAGTTTCAGTGAGAGATTATCTCAAGGGAATAACAAAAATGATAGAGCAGAACAGCAAATGTCTTCCCCACACATGTACATGAGTATACACACCTATATGAAAAAGAAAAACAGACAGGTCCACTCAAGAGCATTTACTGTGCATCAGAAGTGTAGCTCACAAATGAGCTCTAACGCTCTAACAGTCAAAAGAGAAGTAGAATCTAAATATCTGCTAAAAGAGTTGACTTACTGACTCTAAAAAATGAACATATCCATCCATTATCAAATGGAAAGACCTTCAAAAATTTTTAAAATCGTTTAAATGCTAAAAGTAAACAAACAAAAAACTTAAAAGTATGTCAGCTTTGAATCTTAATTTTCCTTCTTTATTTTCTTTGCCCCCTCCAACGCCCCCCCCCCCCGACAGGGTTTCTCTATGTCCTGGAACTTGCTCTGTACACCAGGCTGGTTAATTTTTCTACACATCAAAATCCCTGGTCAAAAGCTCTTAAGAGAAACATGGCTGCTGTGAATTGTCCCCCTTAATCTCATAGGGAGTGGCTCTATGGCACAACTGGGAGGTGTGGCTTTCTTGGATTGGGTATGGCCTTGTTGGAGGAAGCATGTCACTGTAGATAGAGGTAGGCTTGAGATTTCCTATGCTCAGGATACCACCCCAACTAGTGTCACTCAATTTCCTGTTGACTGCAAGATAAAGGACTTTCAGCTACTACTGCCCCTGCATGACATCTGCCTGCATGCATGTTCCCCACCATGATAATAATGAACTCAACTTCTGAAACTATAAGCAAGCCACCCCAATTAATTGTTTTATTCCTAAGAGTTGCTGTGGTCATGGTGTCTTTTCACAGCAATAGAAACCCTAACTAAGACAGCCACTATAAACAAAAATAATCCATAAAACATTTCCACTGTAGATTTAGAATACATCAATTCTCTTATAAATACCTTGATAACTGCATTTCTGGTTTTTTTTTTTTTTTTGGGTTTTGCTTTGTTTTTTTGTTTTTTAATGTGCATGGATGTTTTGCCCT